TAAGCTGGTACTAACCTAGATGTTTTCTTCCTTAAGGTTATCTTTCACAGTTACTAAAAGCTGCAGTGTAGGCTACTGGGAAAGAAAAGTCAACACCAGTCTTAGCGAACTGTGAATTCTGAGTTACAGTAACCAGTCTGACAAGATATTCCTTCAGGTGCAACAGTGATGTGAACATTATGGGAATAATCATCTACTTCCTAATTAGGTTTAAGGATCACTATATAGAAGGGAACTCATGCCTGATGCTGAAAACCTGGCCAAGGACCAATGCCAGGTAGCTCACAGGCTCTAAGGGAGAACATATTATTGTTCTTTTGCTAAGTAGACATATCAAACTGTCTTCTAAACTAACTTTATACCCAAAATTTAGTGCAGTCTTCATAAGAAAAGTTTCTTTTTATAGTGAATGGAAGTTGTGGTTGCTTGAATAAAATGGCCCCCATAGGCATATTAGAAAGTGTGAACTTATAGAGTAGGTATGGTTTATTAAAGGAGGTATGTCAATGGGGGGTGGGTTTTCAGGTCTCAAAAGCTCAAGTCAGGTCTAGAAGCTCATTCTCTTCCCACTGCTTGCAGATATAGAACTCTCAGCTCCTTTTCCAGCACGATGTCATCCTACATGCTGTTGTTACAAAAATGGGTTAAACCTCTGAACTGTACTCCAGTCCCAATTAAATGTTTTCCTTTATAAGCTGTGGTCATGGTGTCTCTTCACAGCAATAGAAACCCTAACAAAAACAGAAGTTAATAAAAAGATTCACTGTTGGTCAAAATGTGAAAAATAAGTGATTATGGATGAAGTGTTTAGCCTTAAATGGGGCATGTGTATCACACTGCTTCCCTGTAAGGCTCCTAGAACAATGAGGACAGAAAGATTGTAAAGAGTCATAAGTAGGGAAGGCTGGGGGAACAGTGCCTGCTGGACCTGACAGGCCTGCTATCCTCATGAGCTCACAGCAACTGGGGATGCCTGTATAAGATAAAGCCACTCAACACTGCAGCATGAATTGGAAGGAAAACATGCCCAGCTTGGGAAGGAAAGGCAGTTTTCTTCAGGGGAATGGTCACTGATAGGTTGGCTCCTGCTGCAATAGCTATCCCCACACCCATGAACATATTGGAGGCTCTAATTGGATTCAATAAATTTCCTTTTTTCTAAATGAAAAAAAAATGTTAAGTATGGAAGGGTTACAGAGTGGAGGGTGATCCAGGGTGACTTGAAGGGGGAAGTGGAGAAGTTATGATCAAAATACACCACTAACATTGATGAAACGCTCAAAGAGCATATACATGTGCCCCCCCCCCAAACAATAACTGAAATTCTATGGAACCTGAATTTAAAAAAAAACCAGAATAATAAAAAATACAGAGGAATTAATAAAATCATGCATACTTGATCATCTTTCAGAGGGTGCCAAAAACACATAAAGCCGAAAGGAGAGTTTCTTCAACAAATGGGTGTGAAATAAATGGGCATCAATATGAAAAAAAAATGATGTGAGTCTTATTTTAAACCACTCCTGCATACTTCTAAATAAAGACTTAAAGCTACAGAGCTAGAAGAAAACCAAGATGATATATTCATGACACCTGTCTTAGCAGTGATCTTTGACTACAGCATGAAAATAGAGGCCACAAAATGAACATAAATTAAAAAATCTTCTGTGAAGCAAAGGAAACAGCAAAATGAAAATGAGACCCAATAAATGGGTCAAAGGGTCTGAGAGATATACACATGAAAATGTTTTTGTTTATTTTTTTTTTTTGTTTTTTGTTTTTTGTTTTTTTCGAGACAGAGTTTCTCTGTGGTTTTGGAGCCTGTCCTGGAACTAGCTCTTGTAGACCAGGCTGGTCTCGAACTCACAGAGATCCGCCTACCTCTGCCTCCCAAGTGCTGGGATTAAAGGCGTGCGCCACCACCGCCCGGCTGTTTTTGTTTATTTTGTTTTATTTAAAAGAAATTTTCCAAATTTGAAGCCAGACTGATCTACACAGCCAGTTCCAAGCTAACTAGAACTATATCCTAACATAATGAAATCTGTGTCCACACCCAGAAAGGGGGTTCACTCCCAAATTTTGATTTAAAAAACTACTGCAACTCAATAGTCAAAAACAAACAAACAAAAAAACCAAATAAGTAATCTAATTAAAATTGAGCAAAACTTAAATGAGCAGTTCTCCAAAGTCATAAAAAGGATTCACAGGTATATAAAAATTGTTCTCAGCATTTTCATCTTCAGGCAAATGCAAGCCGCAGACCATATCGTACACCTTGCTACAAAGGATATTATAATAAGTAGATGATGACAGGTGTTAGTAGTGGTACTAGGTTCCATGAAAAGCAATATTACAAATCCTACAAAGATTTAAAAACTACCCTATGATCCGGCCATCCCATTTTCTGGCATTTATCCAAAAGAATTAAATTGGTGATTCAAATAGCCAATTGCTTGACCATGTTCACTGTGGTACAATTCACACAAGTCAAGAGCTTGAAATAACCTAAGTGTCTTTAAACCGATAGATGAATAAAGAAAATTTAACATATATACAGTAGAATGTTCTTCAATGTTAAAAAAAAAAAAAGAATCCAGTCACTTAAGGCAGCATGGATGGAACTAGAGATCATTATGCTAAGAAATCTGGGCACAGAAAGAACATTATCATCTATATGAAGGATCTAAAGGTATTATCTTCTAAGTTTGAAAATAATAGTTATGTGGGATTCCCCCTATGTATGCTGTGAACACCATTGGTTAATAAGGAAACTGTCTTGGGCCTGCATAGGGAATAGAGGTAGGCAGGAAAAACTAAACTGAATGCTGGGAGAAAGAAGGCAGAGTCAGGGAGAAGCCCCACAGCACACAGATGCCGGAACCTTGCCGGTAGAACACAAGCCCCATGGTAAAATATAAAATAAAGGAGATAGGTTCATTCTAGATATAAGAGCTAGCTAGCAATACGCTTTAAGCTATTGTCCAAACAGTATTATAAATAATATGGTTTCTGTGTGATTATTTCGGGGCTGAGCAGTCAGGAACCAACAATGGACTCCTCAAAACAGAATAGTGATGACCTGGGGCTACAGAGACTGTAAGAGGGAATAGATGAATAGTGAAAGGCGATGACTGAGTGTGAGTACAGCTGAAGACGTAACTGTGATATACTATGTGCAGGAGGGTGACCAGTCAGTCATATACTATGCATTTCTAAGAACTATCTTAGCTGAGCAGTGATGGAGTGTGCCTTTGATGGAGTGTGTCTTTAATCCCAGCACTCAGGAGGCAGAGGCAGGCGGATCTCTGTGAATTCAAGGCCAGCCTGGTCTACAAGAGCTAGTTTCAAGACAGGCTCCAAAGCTACAGAGAAACCTTGTCTCAAAAAACAAAACCAAACCAAAGGAACTATCTTAAATAAATGTGTGAGGAGATATAAAAATTTATACTCATTAAAATATGAGATGGTATACACAACTTTAAGTTAACAAATAATTTTAAAAACAAAAATTCAGTTAAATATCTAAGAAATTTTTTATTTAAACAACAAAAGATAGTATGGGAAACTGCTTCGAGTTCAAGTTTAATCAGGTTTTTCTAATTAAAGTCAGGCGTACTATTAAAGATAACAGAAAAATGATGGCAAAAAAGAAAATGAAAATCTAAAAGCCTACACACACACACACACACGCATGCATGCACATGTACATATAATTTAATAATTGGGAAAAAGAATGAATTAGTAACATCTGAAACATTAGACTCTACACTTTGAAAAAAGCTGCCTAATCTCATATTATTCATTGAAATAAATACAGCACACACTAGAGAGATACATCTAGTTTATGACACAAAAGAATTTCAGTATAGGGTCAGAATATTACAAAGAGGATTTCTAACCCCAAGCATCTCTAAGTCCTATTGACATTAGATTATAGCTCTATGAAATCTCCAGATAGTAGATGCCTCATAAACTAGACAAGCATACTCAATAGGATAATTTTTATTTTCTTAAACATAAGTGACAAATGATCCTTCAAGGAGTAGACTTATGCTGCATGAATATCAAAAGGTTTTAGAAATTTAAGATTGGGAAGTTAAGGCAGAGGATTGTCACAAGTCTGAAGCAAGCCTGGGTGGCACAGTTACAGTTTTAGGACAACCTGGACTGCAGAATAAAAAACTGTCTAAGCCCACAACCCCAAATTTAAAAGACCTGGCTTATATCCAACTTTGGGAACAACAATTCAAAACGAATCAAAGTTCAATAAATGTTAAAAATTCACTCTACATAGCATTTTCAAGGAAATGCAATAACTGGGCAGCACCGCAGTAGTTCAGTCATCTAGCAAGCACTTTGTCGTCACATCCTGAACTGTGTGCTGAAGACATTAAAGACGTTAAAGATTACAAGGACTGGTGTTCTTCCAGAGGACTCTGATTTGATTCCTAGCACTCACAGGGGAGCTCACAACCTTCTATCTATAACTCCAGTCCTAGGAGATCTGAAACTCTCTTCAGGTCCCACTGGGAAGGAAGTACACATAAACAGTACAAACAGGCTATTAACATTCTACTTTGAAAAATTATTAATTAGGGTCAAAATAGTAACATCTGGAGGGAAATACTTAAAATATTTCAGGCAGTCACCTGAAACTAATGTGCATACAAACAGGAATGCTACTTGAACCATTTCCTACTGTCTTTCATTCAGAATTTCAAATATGAGTATAATCAATAATTATAAAAAAGATAGTTTGTATATAAAATGTGCTCAAGTTTTAAAAATATCTGTATACTGTTTGCTTTGAAAGAGTCTATTTTAAAATAAACCAAGGATGATTTATCATTTTCCAGCCCCAGTTAAACAAGCAAGACAACAGAAATAGAACAATTAAGTGTAACACATTGCATCTATTTATATAATAAATATACAATAAATCCATCTACAAATACACCTTAGACTAATTTTTTAACATAACAAATAAAAAAGTTTCTTACCTTTCCTCTGGAGTATCTACATGAAATGTTCTCTCTATAACAGTGGTCCACTGAAGACATCTGATAATAAATGTATTTGGCTTTGGTCGTTCTGTTTTCATTAACTGGCATTCTATAAATAAAGTTAAACATCTCTTTATATACACAAGTACTTAAACTGTTAAGTAAGTAGTTAACAACCACACAGTATGTTATTCTGAACAGAATGCACTCCCACTGACTGTCTTCCACAGAGTCAAGGTTATTCTCAACCCGACCGTAGTGTTTCTTTCCAGCTCATCACTACTATGACCAGTTCAACCAGCTAAACAAAACTCTTGAATTTTTTCGAAACACAACTTGTTCTTTCTGTATCTTTAACTTTGCTTCAGCAGCTACTACTATCTGAAACAACTATTCATTTTACCCCTCCAAATCTGTAAGCCCCAACTGTCATAACAATACCAATCCTTTAAGGACTAAGTGAAATCATACTCATTTCATTCAAATTATTATTATTATTATTTTACTTTTTGGCACAGACTTGCCATTTCACCCTCTATTGTTTCATTATGCAACTTGTTTTTCACCTGATATTGTACTACAGGACCAAACATATTAAGGTAGTTTTTACCCTATGAAGTCATCTAAAACAATAAACTTCTTATAATTCTTGGTATCCAGACTTACTAGAATTAGTCAGTCATGAACTGATTAGATTCTGTCAAGGAATATCTAGGAAGACTTCAAAGAAAAGATTGTTCCTTTCCCCCTGTTCTCTAATCTTAATACTACTTTAACTTGATTGCACTGAATTAAAAAATACATTTTTACATTTTTCCTTACTTCCCTTCCTTCATTTACCTAATTTTGTTTATGAAAACTTCATCACTGATAAATCTTCTATTCTTCTTTTCCCCTTAATCTCTTATTTTTTTCTACCCCTTTATAATATTCTTTTCAATTTCCCCTCTTAATTTATTTCTTCTTGCTTCTCCTCTATTTCTATCCTTCCTTCCCTGTTCCTGACTGTGTTAGCTTGAATGAAAATACTCCCATTTAATCATTTGTTTGAATGTTTGGTCCAAAGTTGGGAAGGCCTTGATGGAAACGGTGTGTCAGTAGGACTGACCTTTTTCAAGTTTCAAAAGTCTACACTATTCTCTCTCTCTCTCTCTCTCTCTCTCTCTCTCCCTCCCTCCCTCCCTCCCTCCCTCTGTGTGTGTGTGTCTCTTTGTGTGTTGTGTGTCTGTCTGTCTGTCTGTCTGGCGGTCTGTCTCTACACCTCATATCTATCCGTGTGTCTGTCTCTACTCTATACCTCGTCCTTCTAGATCAGATAGATGTAACTGTCAGTTACTGTCCCAGCACCAAGCCTGCCTGCCTGCCATCACGAACTCTGTCTAATGGTCATAGTCACTCTAAACCTCTGAAACTGTGAGACCCAAATTAAACTGTAATACCTTGGTCACAGTGCTTTGTCACTGCAGTAGGAAACTAACTAAGACACTGACTTCATTGTATTAATTATATCCATACATATCCTACTTAATTTTTAACTCGATAGCACATTATAGTCATTTTTCCATTTGCTATTTTTTGGTCATGGTATACTAGAAGGCTTAAACAGACATTAAGCATATGTTTGTATTTCTATGACTTGATGCTGGTAAAGCAGGTTGGTTTTTGCTAAGTTTTACTAGGGATTAAGCCTTCAAGAGCAGCTGTTGATAAGATCCCCAAATAAAACCAGAAGAAAAAGCCACACTAAGAGACATGCAAATTATAGCAAAAAGATACAAGAAATATAAAAAACTAAGGTATCGTGATTCCTCCAAATGATCAGTAACACATCAACTACCAAATATAAAAATGGGAGGTAAAAATATCATAAATTTATCAGTTAAAATAGACATGAAAATATATATATATATAAATAAGCAAATGAATTCAATTCAAAAACCAGAGAGTCGGCAACTTATGTGAAAAGAGGAAAATGGAGAGGAAGTAATCAGCAATATTTATAAAACACGAAAATAGAAGAAAAGTTAAAAAGGAAACTGATTTACAGAGGTGGTAAACTGGAAATGAAAATTTTAATGTGGAGAAAAGGTAGGTGCATAACAGAAAGCACCATCAATAGATTCCACCAGATGAAGACACATTAGAACAAATCAGAGATAAAAGTCAACAAGAAACTACAATTCAACATCAATAAGGAAAAGTAAGTAACTGGGAATGACCAAAACATCTAAGAATTGTGAAATATTATCAAGGTTGCAATCCATTAATCCATAGAATAGAAAGATCAGAAATAAATATTAAAGGAATTGAAAAAATATTTTATGAAATTATAACAGAAAACTTCCTAAATCTATAGAGACAGACATCCAAACACAAGAGATGCTTAAAATTCCAAACAGATATAGAAATCTCTTCAAAGCACAAGTCAAACTGTAATATAATCCAATGCAAAGAGACAATACTAAAAGCTGAAAGGGAAAAGCCTCCAACTCACAAAGGCAAACATATTAGAATTCAGAATAAAATCAGATCTCTTATTACTATCCTTACAAGTTAGGAAACAGAACTTTGTTACCCAACAAAGATAGCTATAGATACTGACAAAGACAACAGGACATTTAAAGACAAGCACAAAGTAAAGCAGTCTATGACCACCAATTCAGCACTACAGGAGATATTTATTTAAAGGAACACTACACACAGAAAGTAAGGCAGTCCAGTCACAAGAGCACAGAAAAGAGCAAGTTTCATGATCGGAGCGCATGAAGAAAAGAAACCTAAGAAAAGAGTTCATCATGTTCAGTGTAGTAAACCAACACACCCTGATACTAACAGGAGAGAAGAGAAAAGGGCAAACAACAATGGTCCAACTAGCCAAAACATAATAGCAGCAGCAACAAAAAACTATAATAATGAATGATCTTTTTAATTTTACTTTTAAAAAACTACATTTGTCATTTTACATACCAATCCCAGTTCCCACTCCTCCCATTCCCTCCACCTTCCCCTCTATTCCACCCCCATCCACTCCAAAGAGAGGGTAACACATCTCACTCCACGTTGCTCTGAGGAAAAACCAAGGCCCTCCCTACGATATCTAGGCTGAGCAAGGTATCCCACCAAAAAGAATGGGTTCTAGAAAGCCAGTACATGCAGCAGGGATAAATCCTGGTCCCACTGCCAAAGGCCCCACAGTTTGCTCCAGCCATACAACTGTCACCCACATTCAGAAGGACTTGTTTGGTCCTATGTTGGTTCCTTCCCTGTCCGGCCAGACTTGGTGAGCTCCCATTAGCTCAGGTTAATTGTTACAGTAGGTGTCCTAATCATGGTGTTGATCTCTTTGTTCATATTCTCACTCCTCCCACTCTTCGACAGGACTTTGGGAGTTCAGCCCAGTGCTCCACTGTGGCTCTCTGCCTCTGCTTCCATCAATTGCTAGATAAAAGTTCTATGACATTTAAGATAGTCATCAATATGACTACAGGGCAAGGCCAGTTCAGGTACCCTTTCCACTATTGCTTAGTGTTTTAGCTGGTTGGAGTCATCTTTGTGGATTCCAGGAAATTTCTCTAGTGCCAGGTTTCTTACTAACCCAGAGTTGCTCCCTCAGTCAAGATTATCTCTTTCCTTGCTCTGTCTCTTTCTTCCCCCATCTCCATCATCCCATTCCCTCTAGTTCTCATCCCCCATCCCTTTCTCACCCCCTCCTCCCATTACGCCATCCCTTCTATTCCCACCACAACGCTCCCAATTTTCTCAGGTCTTGTCTATTTCCCCTTCCCAGGGAAATCTATATATGCTTCTCTTAAGGTTCTCCTTGTTACTTAGCTTCTCTGGGGTCATGGACTATAGGCTCGTTCTCCTTTGCTGTACATCTAGTCCACTTATGAATGAGTATATACCATGCTCATGTTTCTGAGTCTGGGTTACCTCACTCAGGATAGTTTTTTTTTCTAGTTCTATCCATTTGCATGCCAATTTCAAAATGTCATTGTGTTTTAGCGCCAAGTAGTACTCTACTGTGTAAATGTACCACATTTTCTTTATCAGTTGATAAAGTTGAGAGGCTTTTAGGTAGGTTGATTCCCATTTTCTGAGAAACAGCCACACTGATTTCCAAAGTTTGTACTCCCACCAGCACTAGAAGAGTGTTCCCCTTACTCTGCATCCTCTCTAGCATAAGCTATCTTTGAGTTTTTGATCTTAGCCATTATGACTGGTGTAAAATGGTATCTCAGAGTCATTCTTATTTGCATTTCCCCAATGGCTAAGAATGTTGAACATTTCCTTAAGTGTCTTTTGGCCATTTGAGATTCTTGAGAATTCTCTGTTTAGATCTGTACCCCATTTATTAATTGGAGTATTTGGTATATTGATGTCTAGTTTCTTGAGTTCTTTATATATTTTGGAGATCAGTCCTCTGTGTGGTGTGTGGTTGGTGAAGATCTTTTCCCATTTAGTAGGGTTCCCTTTTGTCTTATTGACTGTGTCCTTTGCTTTCTGAAACTTCTCAGTTTCAGAAAGTCCCATTTATTTATTGTTCCTCTCAGTGTCTGTGGTACTGGTATTATATTTAGGAAGTAGTCTCCTGTGCAAATGCATTGAAGGCTACGTTCCACTTTTTCTTCTATCAGGTTCAGTGTGGTTGAATTTATATTTAGGTCTTTAATCCATTTGGACTTGCGTCTTATGCATAAGGATAGATATGGATCTAATTTCATTCTTCTACATGTTGACATCCAGTTATGCCAGCACCGTTTGTTGAAAATGCTTTCTTTTTTCAATTGTATAATTTTAGCTTCTTTGTGAAAAATCAGGTGTTCATAGGTGTGTGGACTAATATCCGGGTCTTTGATTTGATTCCACTGATCAACCTATCTGTTTTTATGCCAATACCAGCCTGTTTTTATTACTGTAGCTCCAAAATAGCTTCTCTTAATATACATTTTAAAATGAAGTAATGTCAGTTCACCAATGAAGAGACACCATTTGACAGGCTGGATTGAAAAACTAAATCTACCTATCTGTTGTTTCCAAAATATACATCCCTGATGGAGGAAGGTCATTGGCCAATAAAGAAACTGCTTGGCCCTGTGGGTGGAGTAA